TTCCTGCCCCAGACATCAGCACACTGGGAAAAATATTTTTTATAATTAGGATGCTGATGGGAAGGACTGAGATCAGCACAAACTTTATAAACCCCACCTCAGCTCTTAGCCACCTTACCACACCTAAAGGCTGAAGGCTTGGGAGGAATTCACTGGCTGTCAGTTGTTATTTTCTTCTCCTGGGCTTTGCTTGCTGGTGACTTCAGGGAGTTTTCTTGTTAAAGAAGCCAGAGGAATGAACCAGGAAGCTTCCAGACCACCAGAAGGGTCTGCAGTAAAAATTAGCCCAAACTGGTCACATCAAGAACTAGATGGACCAGAGAGATATGATATGCAAAGAACCTAGCCAGAAAGTGAATTAGGTTGGGAAAGTACAATCCCTAGCAACCCTGAGCAGCTGGCCAGGATCAGAGGCTCCATTTTCCTGTCAAACATAAGTGGATCTGAGTTGGCAGCCTATTTATTGCTAAAGTCAAAGAGCTAGATTTTACACTAAACATATTTACACATTTACATTCATGGCCCTATAAACACACCACATTTCACTGGCCATGACATCAAACACGTTTACCAACAGAAAACATATGCCTAATTACAGAATCATAGGGAGAGAGGCAAGTGGCAACCAATGGGCAATGAGCGGTCCTGCCCCTGTGTGACTCAGTGGCACCACAAGGAAGCTGGCAGAGAGTTGAATGAGGAAAATGTGGCTCCCTTAGGTCCATTCCTGTCTGGTTCAGTTCTAGAGGGTGTTCTAAACTGGGGGTGAGGTGTGGGGGGGTGTCTTGGTATTCCAATTAAATGCACACTGGAGTTCTCTGAGGAAGCCAGATGAGACCAGTGCTATCTCTGGGAATATTTGATTTTGACACTGATAACACCGTTTAAATTGCCCCCACACAAGACTTTGCTCTGTCAGTAATAAAAGCAGGTGCAAACAGAATGCGTGGTGGTTAGCAGAAAATTTAAAGAGTATCTGCTAAGCCTGGAGTCCTTGAGTCTTAGCTGTGGGAAGTGGAGTGAGATCAGTCTCCATCAGCAGTTGCTTTTAAAACAGCTCCCAGTTTGGTCTTCCCTCATATAAGGAAGGCAGAGTCTCCAGGGCCAGAGAGAGAAAAGCAAAACAGGCACAGCCTCAACCAGTGGCCTCAGCCAGCCTTTAATAAACTACAGGGTCTGGTATTCCATCAAAATAATCACCTTCCATCAGAATGAGCCCTTTTCCCCAGCTCCCCCAGCCAGCAGGCTACAGGAAGACATGTGGGTTTATGAAAAAGAACATTTTTTTTTCAAGTGGCAGAAGCCTTTTCCCTGAGATGCATGCTCACTGTAAAAAATTTGGAGGTGTGAATGTCCAGAATTCATCCGCAGATCCATCGGCAAAGTTTGGGCACAAGAGGGCTGCTGGGTAGGGGATAGAGAAGCTTTGGTGGGTGCATATAAAGATGCTTCAGAAGTAAAAGTTGGGGAAAGCTCCCCCACAGCTTCCCCGTCACTTCCTCGGTTACATGTTTCTTTCTTTCTTTCTTTCTTTCTTTCTTTCTTTCTTTCTCTCTTTCTTTTTCTTTAATAGAAAAGGAAGTGCCTCTTAAATGTGTGGGGTGGGAATGGAGAAGAAACCCGTTGTTGAGCAGAAGCACTAGTTTTTGGGGTTTTTTTTTTAAGACATAAAATAATTACCCGATAGAGAAAGAAATCAACCAAGAAGCAATCTGAGGTCATGACACCATGTGTGGTACAAGGAGCGATTCAGCCCATAAGGGCTTCATTACCCCCGCAATAGATAACATTTGGCTAAATCTAGCTGCAGATTAAATCCCCGCAGCACAACAGAGCCTTGAATGGAGAGGCTCCTTTTTGTGTGGTCCTTCCTCGGGAGCTGCCTGAACCATTAGCCCCAATATATCCCTCTCCCCATTAACTGCAATTCCCTCCCGACAGCGCTTCGGTCATTTGTCTCCAGGCTCTACGGGGGCGTTTGATGAGTAAAGAAACAAGGAGAGGAGAGAAAGGCGTCGGGTTAATGAGTTGTAGCAAATCCACACTTTGTAGTCGGGAGGAGGAGAGCTGGTGGCCAATGTTTGTCCAACTGGTTTATTTTTCGAGACCCAGGCTATTGAAGAAGGCTTGTTCGAGCAGCCTTCTTGCCTACAAACACACAAACATCTTCTGTTTGCCTTCAAAGAAAGGGGGTGGGGAGGACCAGTACTGGATTTGCATGCGAATGAGGAGCCCCAGGAGGAGACATCCTTGCCCATCAAAGGCCTGGGTAGAACCGCTGTCTTTGTTCCAACACCTGCTTGTCAGCACAGCCTGGCCAGGCGCGCCCCACATTCCGGGCTCATCCGCTCAAGGCCCACGGTCCACTCCTCGGCCCACACCCAGCGTCCGTACCACTCTGGGCCCATACCTTAGGGCCTCTTACTATCCCCAGCAACAGCCGGCACGAGCAGGTTTGCTGAGTAAAGCCCAACGCAAACGCCCAAATCTCAGAAAGAAGGCTGAACCTGGTGGGGTGCAACAGACAAAACAAGATCATTGCAGATCATTGCACCCAGCCTGATCAAAAGCAGGTTTGTGGTCTGCTGCCTGCGAGGGTGACGGGTGACGTGGGGGCTAAACACTGGGACCCCAGGGCCAGCACTGGGCCACCCTGAGCCTCATGTACTGAAAGCCTGGGAGGCGGGAATAGAGCTCTTCTTGCACTCTCTAAAGATGTGTGATCTTAAGGGGGAAAAAAAAACGTATCTGTGATTCCCTGCTTTTGGGGCATCTACACACTCTTCCTGGGGCGGGGGGAAGGGGAAAACACACGGTTTTGTTCTTGGCTCTCTTCGCAATAACTTTCAAATCTAAAAGTTCGTTCTGTGCGTTCCACAAGTCTACGACTACAGGCGTGCCATGCTGCTGTATGGTTTGCCTTTGGATCCCGCCTGCGAACGCCTCTGCAAAAGGGCTCCTGGGATGCAGATGGTCTGGGGTCTGGAGTTTGCTTTCTTTTAGATCTGTATTAGAGGACAAGAAGCCTTTGAATATAAGACCTTCATTTACAACTTGCTATATGTTTAGTGGTACGTTTCAGGTGTAAATATCTTTAACCCCAAAGTTACCTTCCTCCACACATCTCCCAGTGGGAAAAACAAACAAACAAACAAGTAAACAAACAAACAGAATTTCATCTTGAGGTTTTGAGTCTTTTCCGTCTTCAGATGCCTCAGAAGAGACCAGGCTTCAAATGTGGCCAGCCCTGCACAGTACTGGTCTATAGTGCAGACATCACAAATTGGATAGGTTCAATCTGTGAGTCTTCAGATAACATAGTGTGCACACTTACCACACTTTAGAGAAACTGAGTAAACAGATCTCTGCTGTAACCTGCTGACCCAAAGCATTCAAATTATGTGTTACATATGCATCCGCTATAAGCAGGGCTCACAGAACCATCTGTTCAAGCCAAGACTAGCCTCAGCTTCTGTAAGAAAGTTGAATGTAATGAGCAGTGAACGCCTTAAAATTCGAAACGGGATGCCCTAAATCACCTAAATTGTTTATTTAGTTCTATAAACACCCAGGTACTTTCTCGTCTTTAAGTCTTTGAACCACATACTCTGCTAAAGTTAACAAATTTTCTTGTCCTCGGGCTACTACTCATTTAAGCCAAAATTCCAGTCAATTTGCTTTTGCATTCAGAACTCACTTGTTTAATTCCTGGACTTACTTTTACCTTAAAATCCCAGAACTTTCATGTACAATTCATGTTGTAAACGTAAATATTTGCTTATCCAGGACAGTTAACACCTTTAAACAGATAATCTCCTCATCTCTTTTTTTGCTGTTAAAATTGTAAACTAGAGCCGGGCCTGCCTGTGTTGTTTCCATTACAGTTTAACTTAGTGTTTGAGCATTTGGGTTTTTTTTTTTTGGTACATTTTGCTGAAAAGTGAGTAGAAATTAACTCGAGAATTTCGGAAATAAAATCGCACACTCCTGTTAAATTACCTTAGGGTAACTAAACTTCAACTTTAAATGTCTCCCTGATCTTGAAGACGGACAAAGCCTGGACATGGAATTACCTAACTTTCATTTGCCTTCACCAAAAACAAGTTCTGAGCAGCGATGGTTCTAACTTGGAAAGTTTAAATGAAGAGCTATGGGAGCGTGCTATCCCGGTTTTGTTCAGCTTTCTTTGAAAAAGTAGATCCTGTACTGAGATCAGACTCATCTATAAGACATTTTTTTCCTTCTTAACAGAAAAGAAACTAAGAAAGGGACAATACAGCCAATTACTTAGGTGGCTTTTCTTTGAAAATTAAGCATTTTATTTCTGAAAAGAAGTGTAAAAATCTTACATTAGAATAGTACAATAATAATTGCCAGTAAAATTTACAATACTCCTTGTAAAGAATACGTAGTAAGTACAAAATAAAAATTCCGCATGTCCATTATGATACAAAAACACAGGTTAAAAATAGGAAATGATAAATTTCGACTTGTTTCTTGTGTAAACATGTTAATTTTTTCCTTTCCATGAAAAAGTATACCAAACAAGTGTGAACAAATAAAGGCATTTCTTGGAGACCTTTACTGGTTTCGTATAAGCTGCATTTAAACATTACTGATTTTTTTTTTAAATGACTGGACCTGAGAATCTTTATACCTCAAAAAGGCTTAGTTTTGATGATTTTGCTTAGTTTTTCTCAATTTGTCAAAAGTCAAGGAAATTCCTAGTGCCAAGACAGGGCAACTCCCCTCCTTCCCACCCCAAGTCTGGGTTGCAGCACTAGGCAATTTTGTATAAATAGATTGACCCTCTAAGCCAAATTCCGCAGCGCCCCAGCTGTAGCCCAACACGGTCTGGTCCAAGAATCCGAAGTGGCCAAAATGGGGGCGCGAGGTCGCCGAGGGCCGGGAGGGGCGAACAAAACCACCACCACCACCCCCATCCGGAGAAAGGAGCCGGGAGTCCTACCTTCGCTTTCTCCCGCGCGCTAACGGCGTTTCTAACAATTGGAAATCCTAGCAGTAAAGTTCTCCACACTGGACAGCGCAGTCCCTTGGTGCAGAGTCCCCAGCGCAGCGGACGACGACACGGAGGAGGCGGCGGCCGCGGCGGCGACCACGAGCGAGCGGGTGAGCGCGACGGCGGGACCGGTAGCCGCCTGCACGGCGCAGCCTCCGCCCCCGGGTCCCGGGGCGGTCCCGCTGGCGGCCCCGGGTGAGACGTGAGTCCCGGCGGCCGTGGGACCCCGAGTGCGCCCGATGAGGCTCTCGATGGAGAAGGGCGAGCGTGCGAGCGCAGCGGCGCCGGGGCCTCCCGCCTTGACTGCCGCCGCCTGCAACGGGCCGGGCAGGGCGGCGGCCAGCGCGTGCGGCCGGTAGCCGAAGGCGGTCCGCGCCAGCTCGGCGGCCGCACCGGGAGGCGGCGGCGGAGGCGGCGGAGGCGAGTGGGGGTGGAAGGCGGCGGCGGCTGCGGCAGCGGCGGCGGCGAAGAGAGCGGAGGGCGGCGCGCAGGGCGGCAGCTGCAGGCCGTAGGCGCAGCCGTAGGCTCCGTAGCCGCAGGCGGGAGGCGGCGGCGGCGGCGGCGGG